GCTCTGAGGTCAGACCTGCTGTTCTCCTCTTTGTGGACTTCCACCCGACAGAGAAACTCAGTCCCTGGTGCCCTGGGGTCCACAGTTCTGTCTGGGGCAGTGACTCAGGCAAACAGGCAGGACTCTGCTGGTGCCTATGCACCCCGCTCTGGCTGGTTTCTGGGTACCTGCAGAACCTGGGTCTTTTTCCAGGGATTATCTGGGAGACCTAAGGTCGGTTGTGATGGCTTCCTGCACCGTCGGGTTTTTTCTCAACTAGAAATCCCAGTCTCTGGTGTTGTGGGGCCCACAGTTCAGTCTGGGACAGTGATCATAGCACGCCAGTGGCATGTGGCTCTGAGCTTGTGACTAAGCACCTGGCAAGACCCAGGAACTCTTCTGTGGTTTAGTTGGTTGACCTGAAGCTGATTGAATCCCACACTGTTTGGTTTCCTCTCACCTGGGAAACACAATCAATGGTGTTTTAGGGCCCATAGTTCCGTCTGCTGGTCACTGTGAAGACCCTACTATGCTGCTGGTCAGAAAGAGTGTCCTCTTAGCACTGGCATCTTGGATCCCCCCCCCTTCTAGTACCTTCTATTAGACTGAATTTGTGGATAGATATTGGATCAAATTGCTTTTATTGTGGAATTTCTTATTTTCTCTATCTATGATGATTGAAGGTTTTGCTAGGTATACTAGTGTGGGCTACTGTTTGTGGTCTCTAGAGTCTGCAGCATATCTGCATAAACCCTTCTGGATTTTAGAGTCTCCAAGAAGTTTGTAGTAATCTAATAGGTCTGCCATTATATGTCACTTGGTCCCTACACCTTGCACTTTTTAATATTCTTTATTTCTTTTGTATGTCTAGTGCTTTGATTATTATGTGCTGAGAAAATTTCTTTTCTCCTCCAGGCTACTTAGTATTATGTATGCTTCTTTTATCTTGATAGGCATCTCTTTAGGTTAGAAAAAAAACATTTTTATGGTTTTGTTGACAATATTTCCTGTGCCTTTTACCTGGGTTTATTCTCCTTCTGTTTTTATTATTCTTAGATTTGTTCTTTTCATTGTGTCTCAGATTTTTTTTAATGTTCATTAGGGTTAACATTTCTTTTGACCAAAGTGTCTATTTCTTCTATCATGTCTTCAATGCCTGAGATTCTCTCTTCCATCTTTTATATTCTGTTGGTGAATCTTGGCTCTAAGTTTCCAGTTTGAGTCCCTAATTTTTTCATTTCCAGATTTTCTTCACTTTTGTTTTTATTGATTCTATTTCCACTTCAGGTCTTGAATTCTATTATTCATTTCTTTCCAGTGTTTGTTGATTTCTCTAAGGAGTTTGTTCATTTCCTCTTTAAGGACTTGTATCATATTAATAAAAGAAATTTAACATCTTTTTCTTGTGCTTTAGCTGTCTTGTAATTCTCGGGGCCTACAGTGGTAAGTTTGCTTGGCTCTAGTGGCGATATATTATCTTGGATATTATTGACTATGTTCTATGCTGGTGTCTATGCATCTGAGTTTGGAAAGATTGCAATGTTAGGCAGTAATATTTGGTCCTATCTTTGCTGGTTGAGTATATTGTTCCTTGGTTTGCATTGTCCTCTCTGCTTCTTAGAAGGGTGTGGGGGCAGTGTGTTGCCTGGGAGGAAATTCTTCCTCAATCCTGATAGGTGTGGACACTAGAGGTAAAATAAGTTCCTAGGTATTGATATCTGGCACATTGCAATGGAGATGGACTAGGTGGTGAATACCAAGGGAGTCCATAGGAGAGAAGGAAAGCAGGGTTTTTGAGCAGTATCTGCTTAGTCCCTTGAGGAATAGGAACAGAGAGTGGGGAGATACACTAGAAGATGCTCTGTTACAGAACTGGGGATGAGACTGAGGGATTGGATATGGAATAGAAGAGGGAGAGTGGAGTTATGAAGGTTGCCTACCTGCTTTGCTGGTCTACTTTTTTCTCTGTTTGGCCTTAATGGTAGCTTCCCAGGGGATGCTTGCTTGAGTCGGGGGTTGAAATTACAGGATGACTGGGGGAAAAGTTTTGAGGAGATGATCTGCATGATCTGCTGAGGATGAGGGAATAGAGGAGAGGGAAACCACAGCATCTGCTTTGCTACAGAGATGAGGATAGATTGGAGGACTGGATTTGGAGGAGGGAGTGGTAAAAATCAACAGTTAGGCTGATTCCCTGGCTTGAGAAGCCTGTGGGCTCCTAGGGAATGGCTATTTAAATTGGGGACTGGTATCAAATGAGGAATAGGGAAAGGAAAGTTTGGAAAGAAAGACCTATGTGATCCCCTAGGGATTGGGTGAAGGGGATGGTCTGATACAGCAGCAGGTGGTCAGTCTGCTGCAAGGCTGGGGGTGAGACACTGGGATTGGATTTGGAAGAGCAGAGGAAAAAATAAATATCTATAGTTGGCTTACCTACTTCCCCGAGTGGAGTAGAAATCAGAATATCTTAAATGAGGTTGTGACCACATATGTTGCCACAATATTAAATTTTAGGGTTGTGAAAAAAATTGGTAACACTAAATTCTTCTGAAAATGCAACAACAACAACAACAAAATGTAGTTAAAATGCAAACTCACACCTAATCAGTAAAATCTGGTTTACAAGCTCATTTTGTGTACCTACATACCAGAGACAGTGTGAAAATTTCTCAGGGAAAATTTTCTCAGGGAAAAGTTTAAGAATCTCTGATTTAGGAGACTACAAAGGCAGGATACGTTAAAATCCTGCAAACATACGTAATATTTGTTGACTGGATAGGAAGAATATCGATGTAGACATGCATAAAAATTCAATATCCTGAGAGTTTCGATATGGTTTGCGTAACCCTCAAAGGTTTCTAAAATGCAGGATATTTAAAGATTGGGGCTTAGGTAAAGGAATACTTAAGAGGTAGAACCTACTGGAATCCCTTTAGGTCTTTGTAGAGTCATTGCCTTTAGAAAAGATTTAACTTAGCTTGCCTATGATTGATTATTAGTTCTTGCCAGAAACTGGATAGTATAGGTCTCTCTCTCACCCTCTGCTTTTTTAGTGTGATCATTTCTGTCCACACTCTTTACCATCCAATAGCCGTAGTGTAGTCTTTGATGTAGCATACATTTTACCATTTGGATTTTTAACCATTCAAAACTAAGTTTTATTTTTGTAAGATATATTTTCTTCATAGGTTGACTTTGTAAAGTATTTATTACTATAGTGACAGAAAATATCTAAAAATTCTAAAAATTTTCAAGCAAAAATAAGGCAGAGGGACAGAAGCTAGGAAATAGGAAATGTTGGTAAAGCTACCTAAGTTAAACTAGATTTTGATGTTATTAATCTGTCCCAGTTTCATTTCTGTTCTTGTGATAAAATATCCTTACAAAAACAACAACAACAACAACACAGGGTAGGGAAAACTTAATTTGGCCTACAATTCAAGGTTACAGTCCATTGCTGCGTGAAGTTACAAAAGCAGACCTTAGACAACAGGTCACACCACATCCACTGTCAAGAGAGGAGAGAAGCAAATACAGTCAAGCTCCTAGTTTGCTCAGTGCTAATGCTCAGGTAGCTTTCTTCTCTTACACAGTTCCAGGCCCAGACTGTGAACTGGTGATGTCCACACTCAGTGTTGGTCTTCTCAACCCTATCAACAATCATGACAGTCTTCCATAGGCCAAACTAATTTAGATTTTTCATTATTCGGGTTCTCTTCCCAGGTGATACCAGTTTCCGAAAATAAACATTTAAAATTAACCACCATGAGGCTAATGAGATGGCGCAGCAGTTAAGAGCACTGGCTTCACTTACAAAGGACTACAGTTCTGTTGCCTGCAAGCATTTTAGGAGCTCACAACTACCTAGCCCAAACCTTCTTCTGCCCTCCTCTCACACCGTATTCACCTGCACAATCCCACACATAAACACAAACATATAGACTTAAATAAAAAATAATCTTCAAAAAAGCAACCATACTATCTCAAATAATTTTTACCAAAACAGACATTTTTTCATAAAATATATTCTGAATATAGCTCCCCCTCCATCAACTCTTCCCAGATCCTCCCCATATCCCCACATCCCCAAATTCACATCCCTTCTTGCTTTCTGTCATTAGAAAATGAACAAGCATCTAAAAAGTTACTATGTGCAGAAAATAAACAGAATTGGTCCTGGTGTTAGAATTTGCTAGAACCCTAAAACTGTAAGACCTTGAAATTTGTTAAAACATATTTATGATTTTTGCATTCTATGTTGTTTATTCTTTTGTTGTTCTCCTTTAATGTATCTGAGATAGACTGGGTCTTTGAATAAGCCTACCAACTATTAAAGGATTCGAGCATACAGAAGAGAATCTTACAATCTTTAAGGGCTACTGTGTTAAGTTGTAGCAAGCAAAATATGCTTAGAGCAGTGGTTCTCACCTTCCTAAAGCTGCAATCCTTTCATACAGTTGTGGCAAGCCTAGCCATAAAATTATTTTTGTTGCTACTTCATAACTGTAATATTGCTACTGTTATGGATTATAATGTAAATATCTGATATTCAGGGGTCACAACATACAGCTTGAGAACAGCTAACTTAGAAGAATGATAAACTTTCAAGTTCTGGATTTGGCTTTACCAAGAGAGGCATCTTCCCGGTTTGCAGTATTCTGGCCTTGACATACCCATTCTTGTACTCTTTTCCTCTACTCGTCCCTTCATACTAACATGCCAGCATACTTTCCTGGTTCCAAAATCAGAACTTCTAGTGTTTTTTACACATTTTCCCCTAAGACGAATTGTCTCCTTTTCTCACCCTGAAGCTTTTATATCAAAGAGATAAAAGGGTTTGCTTTTATGTTATACCTTATACTTATACTTTCATGCCCATATGTTGATCACATGGAAAAGTTTAAATGTTAACTTTAGCTAATGATCCACTGAGGATCACAAGTAACCACCATCCCAAATGTCTCCCCCCCATCTTTTGCCCTTTTCCCAGTAGATCTACAAGAAGAGATCAGGAATGCATGAACAAATAGTTTTATTTAGTACACATTTATGTAAATATATATGTCTTAATCTACTACTAGTTCCATACCCCTACAACCACAATACCCCTTCCCCTTTGGCCCTTCCTCTCTTCGGTATAGAATACATAGCCAAACATTAAATTAGGGTAGAGAGAAATAACAACATTAGTAGATAATATTTAAAGCAACAGAAACAAGTAAATAAGTAACAAGCATAATGGTAGGAATAATGTTCATTCTCCTGTTGTAGCATGGTAAGACTTCCTTCATTCCTTTTTTCAAGAGGTAATTCATCAATATCACTTCAGGGAGCCTCGTTTCCTCTGTCATTTGAGTAGAGTTTGACAGTGTCACAGTCTTTCTCCCAGAAGGTGTCAGTTCCACACAGTCCATATCACTGCTAGGTTTGAATCAAGTAGCAAGTGTGTAATACGCCTATGTACATGTATTTTGGATATTTTTCATAGTTTCACGAAACATGTGAGCAAAGCTGAAAAGCTGAAAGCCATTAAAGTATCATCAAGTTCAGTTCCAGTTCAAGGGGGAGGGATACTGCTCACCCAGGTGATGGATAAAATTTTACTAACTACAATATAGACTCTACGTTTAAAGACTTTTTTTCTGTTTTTTTTTTTTTGTATTTAGATATTTTTATTTCTGAATAGTTTTTACACAGAATGTCCTCTGCATTAAGTTACAGATACAAAAGGAGTGACAGCCTCTTTTATAAAACTACAAATTCAGTATTCACTTTCCCAACTTTTAACACAGCCTTCCTACCACTGACTGGAAAATCCTGTAAATCCAAAGCCATGAGGCACAGGATCTCTCTATTAAGTGCCTTCTAAGATCTTTCTATAAAAATAAACTGGAAAACTTTATTTCCAGGAGGTCTCATCACGAAAGAACAGGAAATTCATTCTAGATGTTACATTTCAACTAATCCAATTAACATACATTAATTTGCATAAATCTGCTCACAGCTACTTTCACTGGGGCCTGCATATATTAAGTCATGAAAATCTCACCAGGCTAATCTACACTGTTTCCTCCATGTGCACCTTGAGCAGCCAGATAACACTCCGTTTTTCTTTATTAACAAGCATATTCTAAACTGCAAGAACTACATATCTGAAGCTGAAACTTTGTATAATCCCCCCCAACAGTGTTTAGTTTTTCAATGCAGAGTAAAATCTTGAAAATGAACACTTGTTGATAAATATCATAAGATCTTATTTTGAGAATTATATACAAAGTCGCACACAAGATATTACTATCACTATTATAAGGGAAATAAGTTTGAAATAGACACATACAAGTCTGTGAAGAAGAAGTATCAGACTAAACAACGTCATTTTTAATCTCATATAGATTGTATCTGGTGTATTTCCTTTTTTTCACCATGTGTAGTAGATGACAACAGTATGTCCATCAGTGAAACTTTGCCTCAGACTCTAGATATTTTGACATTCTTTAGAATCAAGAAAGTTGTGGTAGATTATGTGTGCTAATATGCTATACTGTATACGTGTATGTACTTATATATTTATGCTACTGTCCATATGCATTTTTAGAATTACATGTGACAGTGTGGAAAGATACCTTAACTCATAAGATACACAGAATTTTACACTGAAAGAGTATATAAGCTCAAAACACGTGAGAAAGAATGTGTATGTCACATATACAGTGACCAAAACATGATTACCAGCATCCCAGATAACTATGCCAAAAGAGGAATTCCCCACTCCAAATTTCCCTGTTAAGTTTGAATATCAGACAGACTACATGTAGAGCTTACTCTTGTCAAAGCATTTCTCCAAATATCCTACCTTGTACCGAGATACAGTGTCTTGGTATTTAACACGTGTAACACATGCATTTGAATTTGTAAAAGGGGAGAATTTAGCAATTATTCTTGTCAGTCATTTCTGCTATGCTCTTTGTTCATTTAAACATTTCAAAAGTGATGTCTTCCTAATTATTTGACACTACTAACACACAGCCAGTAAGGGATGTACTATAAACTGTTGTCTCCAGAAGTGAAAACAAATTTTGCAGTAATATTTACACAACAGTTTTCCTGGGCCTTCCAGGTGGCTGATAAATGTTGTTAGGTAAAAGAGTGGCTAGGGTGAGTGGTGCAGTCTTTGTAAAAGGACACGTGGGGTATTGAAACCATGTAACCACAGTTCTTTAGCACCATGCCCGAACCCACAGAGCTAAATGGCTGCACATGGGTTAGAGCCTAGGATCTAGAGCTCATTAGCACCATGTTCCAACCAAATGAGCCCTTCAGCCAGAAACTTCTTACAATGGTAGCACCCTCAGACTTGGCTGGGTACTGAATTCAGATCAGTTGCTGCTGGAAAATGTCTAAACAAAGGCCCACATGAAGTTTCTATGCCTAACTCGTCAAACTTCCATAAATCACCAAAACTGTTGTATAATGTTCTGGGTCTGTAGAGTTACCAGCCAAGTCAGCAGCAGACATTGAAGTTGGATTATCTGTCAAGCATGGAACATTCCAGATTCCAAGCCTTACTGGGGGTGAAAGAAATTTGATTCTTTGTATAGAATAGGGATAGGGGTGGGGAAGTGCTTTCTTAAGAAGGGTAGAATACTTGGTTAAAGTATAATAGCACAATATTCATTTAACTTACAACGATAAGCCCTTTTACCCAAATTTCTCCTAAGTCTAAACTGGAGAAGAAGGCTATCAGAGCTAGGGACAATGCTTCTAATAAACATGGGTTTCTCAAGCAAAATTCAATTTTGCCTTCTCCATGTGGGGAGGCAGAACCATAAGCAGACAGTCCATTATCCTGGGAAATATCTATTGTACCAAATGGTGAGTGAAGAGGAAATACATATATCTGTCCTTAAGGTAATCAGAAGTATTTACATAGCATGTTTGGAAAACACACAAGCAGAGCTCACTACTCACAAAAGTAGTACTCACAAAAGCCAAAAGGAGATCACAGGTGAATTGGCAGTTTATAATGATCACAATATAAGATTCCCTTATGTTTTCAGCCTAAAGCTACTCCAAATATGTATTCATATACTTTAATTGTTCTGTAATTGGGGTATTAATGATAGGACAGGGGCCATGGATTAGATTTAAAGGATAAAAAGAACACATAAAAGAAGCAATGGAAAGAAAGTGATTTAAACTTGAATTATGTCTTTCTCCAAATTTGTCCTTGATCTAAAAAGGGATACAACACTATAGCAAGTATGGTCATTTACTAGAAACTTTTGACATTCTGAACCCCCCAAAAAGCCACATCTTTTTACTAAGTGAAAACAGAATAGCTGGAGGCTGACTCTCATCACCTCATTTCCTGATCCTAAAAATCTGTCCATACCTTACCAACCAGGAGATATCTCAGTAGAGACTGGATAACTTGTTATTGTTGAGATTTTTATAACAGAAAGAAAGACAACAGTGAGAAAGAGATGGAAGTAGAGAAGGAAATGAAAGAGGAGAAGGATGAATAGAAGTCGGAACAGGAACAAACAAGAAGAAATGGACAAAGGCTAGGAAGGGGTAAGGAAAGACCAGGGGGAGGCCAAGGATACTGAGGAAGAGGCAAAGAAGAAGAGAGGAAACTGAGGAGGACCACAAGTTCCATTCTCATTCTGGTATCATCTTGATACATGCAATCATGGATGCTGTCCAAAGAACTCTAATAACATTGTATCCAGACTAATGGCAGTGACAGGACGAGGTATCCCTTCTTCTTCTTCTTCCTCCTCCTCCTCCTCTCTTCTGTTGAGTTGAAATTTTCCATAAGCTAAAGAGACAAGGATAATTAAAACATTTTCTACTTTTTCCAGAAAAAGAAAGACAAAAGTACACATTTACATGAAACAAAGTTGGAAACTAAATGTAGAGTCAGAAACATGGAGGAGGTTTGGGATTTGGAAGTGTGAACTTGGGCACTTTGATTTTTCTTGGAATTAAGATGGAAGTTATTTCTAAATTGTACAGCGACCTGGGAAAATAACTCTGATTACATGGGGTGAATCATTTCATTGCTTTATCTATTCCTGGGCATCTGTAACATTTCCCATCCTCAGTACCACTGGAGAAAAGATACAACTAAGCACTTGCACTTACAATATACCTTAAGTTCCCAGAGTACCCAGTGAAACTTCAGAGATGATACATTAGTCTCCTAGCACTCCATGGGAACAAAATAGTAAAATCAGTCTCCTGTAAATCTGAATAAAATATAAATAATAATAGCTGGTAGCTCAAAGGGCTCCTGAAGCTTGCATTATCTGTGGAAAAGCACAATGTCTGGGTGGTCTCAAAAACATAAAAGGAGGCTGATGGACAGAAATAGAGATAGAGTTCTAAAAACCCCAACTCAGAAAGAATTTCCTTTGAGGGACAGAGAAATAAATACCTGATGATCAGATATTCTCAGTGTATTTGATTTGGAGGGGGAACAAAAAACATAAAAGAGGAACAGGCATAAAACTAGAGAAAAGGAAATTCAAGTGAATAAGTACATTAGTTCACATGACCCTCATCCCTCTAATATTATTCTCTCCTATGTAAACACATGAGAAATTAATGAATTCTAGTTTTGTTTTTTTTTTTAATCTTATAATACCTTAGATATTTTGAGAACTGATAGTCAATTGCGGTCTGGGCAGCTTAAACTCTAGGCACTGAGTGGAGAAAGGAGATTTCCACTGCTGGAGAGGGAGGGGGACTGGGCAGCTCATCAAAATCTTTGAATCGTGGGAATTTGGGCACTCCTGGATTGGGATCCACAGAAGCAGGTGGGTGGGTATGAGATACAGAGCTCAGTCGGCGATGCTCTCCCCTGAGGCGGCTGATTTTATCTAAAAGCATCTTCTGGATTTCCATAATGACCTTCTGAACTTCAATACGAAAGCTATCACTGAGCCAGCAATAGATATAGGGATTGTAGCAGGAACTACTAATTGCTAGCCAGTGGAGGAAAAAGTAGAGACCATTGTGGCTTGAGATGGATTCACTGGATAGTAGCACCAGGTAGATGTTAAGGGGGAGCCAGCTGATAGTATAGAGAAGCACCACTGTCATCAGCATCTTCAGGGTCTGCTTCTTCTTCCCACGCTGGCAGATGTAAGTGTGGATATTGATGTCATCAACAGCATCATGGATCCATAGCTTTTTAGCCACATGGCCATAGACAGCCACCAGCACCAGCAAAGGCAAGATGAAAAAGAGCAGAAAGGTGCCCAGGTCAAGGTATTTCCATGTGGATTTTGAAGTATATGGGAAACTTGGGAGGCAAGCGGATTCCTCAGTTGTGTTTCTAGGTTATGAGAGAAAGAAATCAAAATCATTGATTTAGTCTTTTCTTAAGGCCCACATCAAACTGTGTGGCAATTAGGTCTTAAGGTGGAGATGTATTTATTATTTGTGCTGTGTCTGTATTGATCATAAAACCAGAAGGCCTGGGATTCAACTGATTCAGACTCCTCATTTACCTATAGGAAAACCATGGCCTCAAAGATAGAAATTGTAACCACCTGTCATGAGAAATATAGGGAAACTAATGAAAAAAATACAGTTTAGAGAAGTTTATTTTTTCTATCTATATTTTGGAATGTACATATTCTAGCCCCTAACTCCTACAGCATTCCTTATGACTTTCAAGGCCATGGGTTGTTAGAATAACAGCCACCATCTTTTCCCACATTCTTATTACCCAATTTCCACTTGGTAAAGCTTCTGGTAAACTGCATGTGGCAAAGCAGCACAGGTGCTCACAATCCAGATGATAATGATGCAAACATTGCCTTGCATGGGGCTAATCCGGGACTTCAAAGGATATAGCATCACCTGGAAAGAAAATGACCTCACCCAGTTTAACAATTTAAATTCAAGTTAGACATCCACAAACTGCTATTCTGATAAAAGGGTACAAAGTCTTGAAGGTATGTGGGTAGTGATGTGCTTTGTGGACTACGTTCATTTGACATACGTGTGGCATTTTGCTTCATGAAAGTACAACACTGCTACATTTGAAGAAGTCAGAAATCCCAAGTGGACTGACTTTAGAGCTCCTGTTTCTCTGTCTACAGTTCTGGCTAGAAAGTAGACAGATGTCCAGTAGTATGACTTATTTTTTTTTTGTACCTTCTATTTGGATAGAAAACTGCCCCACCTATTTCCCCATCTACCCTTCTACCTGGCATGTTCCTTGGCCTTTCTTATATCTTCCCATCCTCTCCCATGTTGATTCATCGTCACACTTTCCTTCCTCGCTCCTTTGCTCAATGTTCCCTCCTATTTTCTGCCACTTAGCTAATTCTATAACTTCTCCTATCTGTATATAACCACATACCCTTCAATCATTTGCTATTCCCATACTACTCATTTTCTTTCTCCCTCTTGAATGATCAACTATGCAGTCCACCCAGCTTCTCATCCCTTGCCTCACTTCTTTTTAATTAGCTTCAACCATCCTCCTAGCTATTTATTCCTTGACTGTCTTCATCCACCCCCACTCAATTTCTCTATCCTTCCTCATAGACTTCACTCCCAGCTTCCAGAAGAAATCCTCAATCAGACCTAAACTACATCCACATTCATTAGTCTCTGCCCTCTTCCATCCTTTAGACAGTCCTGCAATGCAGCAAACAGGAAATGTTTTCCAAAGAAGAACACGTATCATGTGTTTATTGCCACATCTTTGTTCCCATTGCACCACAGAAAAGATGGTCACGTTTTTATTAGATTTGATTTTGTGAAGTTCTGTATTGCATCATCTTAAAATCTCCTCAAATTACACATAAACATTTACTTACGTATGTAGACCTAATTACTTGGAAAACTTTATAGATAATTTGTAACCTTACTTGTCTCCATACACCTAAGAGAAGAGTCTTTTACATGATCTGGGACACACATACCCGATGTCGATCCACAGAAATAGCTGCCATACTCATCACAGTTACATAGGCACATGAGTACTGGGCAAAGCGACTGAGGTGACATGTCATCTTTCCAAACACCAAGGAATTACACAGATAGCGCACCTGTAGGAGACAAGGTTTGGTGATGCAGAGGAACTCTGTGTCCATCCCTCTCAAAACCTTCAAAACACACATTTAAAAAAGTCTCCTTGCTTCAACAAACTGCTGGTATAATTTTCTCAATAAGCAAAGAAATATTTTTACACTCCAGTTCTCATGCTCATCACATTTTCTCCCACACAACATCCCTGCTTGAAGACATGGAAGGACAATCAATCAAAAAACATATTAAATATCTTCAGGTTCATGCAGAACATTTGAAAGGTGGAGAAACAGAGTTAATCTGTATGAAAAAAACTTGGATTCACACATTAACCCAAAGCTCACCAGCAACAGGTCCCACTACATCCCTGAGCAACCCAATTCTCTCTCACTCTCTGCCATGGCAAGAGATAAATTCAGCTACGCAACAGCTATCCTGCTAGTCTTCCTAACACATTTCCAAGCTCTTTTCAATGCTTCTCAGCTTCTGTGCTATTTCCTATGAAAATGTTGTCCAAACCAAACCAATCCTTTGTAACTCTCCCTCCCTCTGACCACAACATTCACTGCTACAAGTACAGAGTTTTACTTTAGCTCTTGCCTTGCTCCCCGGCTGCCCTCGTTGGTACCCCAACTTACCATAGTAAAGGGAGAGCTGAGAAGAGCAAGCATCATGTTGGTCACCGAAATGTTGACAACGAAGAGGCCGGTGGCAGTGTGTACCCTCTTGTACTTCATAATTATGTGGTTTAAGACCCAGTTGCCTATGATGGCAGCAAAGACCACTATGGTGTACCCTACCACTAACCAGAATTGCACCTGATCATCCTGGGATACAATTTCCAAATCTAGGGGACCTGACGTGTCGGCCAGGTCACCTGAATTTGGCATATGGTCTGGCAACTTATCCCTAGTGGACAGCATGCCATTCTGGCCAGCACGCCCCACCGCAGATGCAGCTTTAGATGCGGCTTGAAGCACCTGGGAGGTGGTGGAGGTTATCAAGTCATCAAAACCACTAGGTACACTCAGAGCTTCTGGAGTCAGCTCGTCCCCGTAGCTCATGGTACCAGGACTCTGGAAAGCCCCTTGGGGCAATTCTGTGGTTGGGGCATCCATCCCAGTGCCTTTAGTGGACCGCAAGGTCCCTGAGCTACTTGCCCAGGAGGCTCTCAAAAAAGAGAGAGGGCAAGTTGAGGCCACAGACAAACAGGCAGTCTATTCTGTGCCCTGTAGCTCAAAACTGATAAGGTGCTCTCCAACGTGTCTGGAGCAGGGAGAGGGAAGAAATGCCAGGAACCAGTCAAAAAAAAAAAAAAAAAAAAAAAAAGACTGGACCTGCTCAGGGTGGGCAAGTGCGCAGAGCTGGGCAGCTGAGTGCAGTTTTGAAAGCTGTCTGCAAACGCTCCTCCTGGAGAGTGCCCACAGCACCTGCTCCAAACTGGAGATGGCTTCAGGCTTTGCTCAAGCACAGATCCTCTTCCATGCTGCCAATGATTATTTCGACCCAATTTCTTTTGCCTTCAGTCAGTCATCAGTCTGTAAGTCTTTCCATCCAAGGCTGGCTGGCGCTGTAGGCAGGGCGGAGTCAGGCACTGCCACTCTAGCTCCAAGCCCGTGCAGAGACGGCTTTCTGCAGCTGCCCTTTATAGAAAGTCCAGGGGCCCGCTCTGGAGCCAATGGGGAGCCTCGACTCAATTTTCCCCCAACCCCCGCCCTGTCCTTTCTGGGCTGGGGAGTCTGAGAGGCTGGCAAAATCTTTGTCGCTCCTGTTTCAAGCCCCTCCTTTCGCTGCTCTCTCTTGGCTTTCCCTCTTCTAATCCTGCAGTTGGAAGCCTGGATTTATTGTTAATAGGTTTTTCTTTTAACACGGCCCTGCTTATAATTTGAATTCCGCATCTCCTCTTTCCCTTGCTTTCTGTTTCTTTTCTGCATCATCCTCCTAGGTACCGGCTAGCTGTGACACAGGTACTGAACGGAGACTGTGGAGACTGCAGTCACATCTGGAACACCAAGCCAGTCAGCTGCCTGGGGAGAGTGATCCATATGAAAGACCTGCACCAGATGTGGGAGTTTCACAGAGAGAAAGAGGCAGGGGGCAGCTGGAGAATGAAGAGGGAAGTTTAGTTTAAGAGAAGCAAGAAAGGGTCATCTGGGAGTGGGCTCAACACTATGTTCTGCTTTGTCTAGCCTCAAAACTGCATACCACCGACCAGGGAAATCTGCTCCTGTCCTCTGGAAACAGGGCACTCTCGGCACCCAGGAAGTAACACTTTTGGAAATTAGACTGTGTCAGGTTAGTCAGCTGTTTAAAGGGTGAGTCCCTCGGGAAGATTTAGAATTTGGGAAGCTTCTGCATAGCAATGCTGCTAAAATCTAAAGGAGAAGGGAGAGGGAAATGCATCTCAATCATTGAGGATTGCAGTGGAAAACACTCTAGCACTGGTGGTCCCAGACTAGCCATTCTCTTGGAAATTTTTAGCTCCATTCCAGAGGTGTTATGGTCACAACCAGAGCAACTAAGCTGCCCCTCTAGAAAGGATGGAAGAAACCCTGGTCTTTCATAGTGTGCCATTTAGTTATTATCTGCCACCCCTATTTCAGTAATTGACTGGTAGAGAAACTGGGATAGATAGATTATAGAAGTTCAGGGGGGAAATAGTTGAAGTATCAGAACTAAAAATGAGAAAGGGCATTCAGAGACCTCGGCTACGCAGCAAGCACTCTGTTTAAGAAATCCTGCTGTTTATTACAGCCAGTCTCGTGACTTTCTAGCCACCCTTTACTGCCCAGAGGCTACACCACTATTCTCCTAGAGGAAGTAAAAAGGAAGACACCTGGTTTCAAGAATGTCAATTATTACTGATTAAGGCATAAGCAGGAATCAATTTAGTACAATCACTCTCATCATCATTGTCCAGTCATCAAAGATCACAAAGGATCCATGACGCAGATAAGCAAACTCCTGGGTGTTTGAACTGAACACATCCTGCAGATTATAGACTAAGAAAGCAAGAAAGAATTGAAGCAGATCTGAGGGTATTGCAACGTTTCTGGGATGCTGAGTCTGGGGGGGGGGGGAATGGTGGCGATGGGCTAATACTTAATAGCTGATCAGAGAGAGGCAAATTGTGTTTTGTTTGGTGACTCACAGAGATGAGACACATACATAAACACGTTTGAAGGAATTAGTAAATCTCAATTCTATCACACAGATCCATTCTGGAGAAGGCACTAATTCAGGGTCTTTAGACTGATCCCTTTGCAGCAGTTTATATTAGAAGTTTCTCAAAATACATCAACTCGCTGCTAACCTGGCTTTCAGGAGCCAAACAGGCTTAGGATGTTGTAAAGATGATGGGTTAAAAATGAGGTTTCTATAATTTAACCAAAATATGAAGAAGTAAATGTCAGGGTTCTGATATGGAGGTTCAGATATGCAAAGGCTGGATCAGGATTGCTGTTCTACCAGCCCCTCTGTCCCTCCCTTTCTCCCTCTTCCTCTCTCTCCACATAATTAGTATAATATAATATAGTACATGTTATTATTTTCTATATAATTAATTCTTTGAGAATTTTATATTATATTTTAATCCTATCCATCTCCTTCCCTGCCTCCTCCCAGGTCATACCAAACCAACATTGCATCTTCATTTTTTGTTTAAACCTAGTTGGCATGCTGTTTGGTCTCTCTTAGCCAGGGTAACTGAAGCTGTCAAAAAGGTGTTGGGAACACTCACTTCTCATACAAATGTAAGATCCATACATTACTGCTAGTAGTGAATTCTTCAAAGAGAAAAATGATGTGCATTTCATCACACTAAAATTTTCACATATTTTTAAAACTCAGAGTACATTTTTATCACTGTGTATTTTAGATTTTTTTAAAATAATTGAGTTCATTAAGAAAATGTCATACATGTGTGTGAATCATTTTTACTCGCTACTGGATATTATCTACAATTACTCTCCATCCCCACTCATCTCTCTTCTTTTCTCACATAGTGCCCTTTTATTGCTTTTATCATTCTTTCCTCTAAATATGAATGAAAGTGTTAGATATTTGTCTCTTTTGTTTGGATGGATTTTGAAAGCAGCATCTTACTGTGCTAGCAAGGCTAATCTTAAATTTCTGATCCTTTTGCCTCTGCCTCCTGAGTGCTAGGATTACAAGCATGTGTCACCATGTCTGGTACCATACTTGTGTTTGTGAATCTGGCTTCTTTATTTTTGATACCACCACTATCTCTCTTTTTCTTTATTTCATGTCCTGATGTACTTGTGGTATCTTCTCGGCCCTCAAATCTTCAATATCCACCAACTATCTGAAACCTTTCAAGAGTTTTTTGTTTAGTTTTTGTTTTTGTTTTTGTTTTTAACAAGAGTCAGTGCCCTGAGAGAATCCTGGGGCCAGTAAGCCATCTATGTTACCAGTCTATCAATGGAAGAAGTCAGGGTTTAAAAGGAGAGTTCACCACAGTATCATCTATTTCTAAGAAGCTGAACATTGCACTAAAGGGAAGAACCCAGGCCCAGGAAATGCTTAATTGAGGCAGGCATAAGATGTGCACACGATAATTACTACAGGAATAAATAAATATTGCAAGATGAGGGCCTAGGAAGCTTTGCAGATAAACAAGAATTTGATCTGAGGTTTGAATACCCCACAAAACAGAGATGGGTGGTAAAAAAGAGAGATTAAGTTTTAACCCCCAAAGTAGGTATCATACAAAGTGAGAAAATGTTTTTGGTTTGTTCCAGGGAACAAAAATAAATGTTTTAAATCTAAAGTTTGATATTTGTTGATCCTATACATTTATTACTGTAATGTTTTTTTAAGTATCCCCATGGAGATAGTATAGTCACAAGTTGAAGAAAATCATTATATAGTATTGTTTGTTTAAAAAGGAAGGGTCCTTTGTACAGTAGGAGCTGGGATAAGCACTTCTTTTCATGTGCTACTTCCAAGTTATCTGAGTATCTTGCAATGAGCTTTGTTTGTCCTCTGCATTGTGTTCTTTCTAATCTTTCATATAGAATTAGACATTTATATTGGAAAGGATTTCTGTAATTCTCAGATGTGTTCAACCTTCTCTTCAGGCCTTCACACTGAGCCATAGTATCCAAAACAAATGTTTCTACACAATTTTATTGGCCGTATTTATAGAAAACACAGGCCAAATTAATCTCATTTGAAGTCTGTAAAATTCATGGCCATGTTTAACCCCCCCCCAAAAAAAATTACTTCTTCTCTGGCAAAACAGCTCTAAGTACAGCTGTGTGCTTCTATATATGCTCTGTGTCAGTATAAACCACTCATGCCTTAGTTTCACAATGACCATTCTTTCTTATTTTTTTATTTTTATTAATTACAGTTTATTCACTTTGAATCCCTCTTGAAGAATCCCTTCTTCCTCTCCTCCTAATTCAACCTTTCCTCCCCCTTCTTCATGCATGCCCCTCCCCAAGTCCACTGATAGGGGAAGTCTTCCTCTCCTTCCTTCTGATCCTAGTCTATCAGATCACATCAGGAGTGGCTGCATTGTCTTCCTCTGTGGCATGGTAAGGCTGTCCCCCCCTCAGGGGGAGGTGATCAAAGTGCAGGCCAATCAGTTCATGTCAGACACATTCCCTGTTCCCATTACTATGGAACCCACTTGCATACTGAACTGTCATGGGCACATCTGTGCAGGGTTTCTAGGTTATCTCCATGAATGGTCCTTGTTTGTAGTATCAGTATCAGAGAAGACCCCTGTGCCCAGATTTTCTGGTTCTGTTGCTCTCCTTGTGGAGCTCCTGTCCTCTCCAGGTCTTATTATCTCCCCTTCTTTCATAAGATTCCCTGCTCTCTGACACAATGGCCATTCTTTCTTATGTAAAATTACCACAACTTCTATCTTTTGAGTCTTAAATAGGAACAAAATGATTAACCAAATAAAGTCATACATAACAGAAATAAACACATCTTTGCTGAACCACTTGGTGTCAGTACCTACCTTGTTTCCCCAGCCCACACAGAAAAACCTCAATTCTCTCATGAATGTTTTATACCTCACTTCTAACCTGAATACTGACAAGGAAAAGAAAATGTCACACCTGTTTTGGTCTGTTTCAACACTCAAGAAATCTTAAGTGACATTCTTCTTCCAAATTCAAAGTTCATCAAGTCAGGAAGAACTACCAAGTTCACCATTAGAGCTGACACCTGCTTGATCTTTCCATGAGCAAAGGTACAAATTTTGATGCAAAGAGTTCCTTGATTTTCCTTTTCCTGCTTACTGTGATTTTTTTCCTGTATTGATATAATTTGAGCTTCAATTCCTTCTCTATTTGTATTATCATTTTAAAATCTCTAACTCCCCTGAGCCTGCTGTCTTTACCTAATATCTGACTCCTATCTGTTGTGGGCAGGATAACTAATGATGGTTCATCCCTCCTAATTTCCAACATAATTTTCCCAAACTGAGTTCTCATTGAATTGGCCCTTCTCCTACTGAGAGACTGTAAAAACTAGTAAAGTGACAAAAACAATCACTGCTTTGAGTGCTGTTCCAGACTCTCAAGCCTGTATAATCATGGTCAGAAACTCCTATTGGGGTAG